TCTCATTCTCTCTCTCGCAAATAAATAAAATCTTAAAAAAAAAAAAAAAAGTAGTGATGTATATAGGTGCATTATTATTAAATCCAATGATAGTACTTGTTGCACTCAAGGATTATAGACCACCCATAAAATTGTGCAGATTTCCCTGCTTTAAATATTACTTACAGAGTAGTCTGTTCCACTGGTAATAGTTACCATCAACAAAAGTTACGTAGACAGAGAAAAAATATCAAGCACACTAAAAATCCAACGTTTGATAATAAGTCCAAATAGGGATTTCTCAGGGGCAAAGAACAAAGCTGACCTGACATGTTAAACAACAAACAAGCTCAAGTCTTGAAATTCTTTTTGATTCTACTCGTACTTAGACTTGAGTGTGGTTCAAGTTTGGTAGATAGGTTAAAATGTTAAATCGGACACTAAACACAATACAATTTGTTCCAGTTAAGAAACACAGACAGTGGGGCGCCTGGGTGGCTCAGTCGTTAAGCGTCTGCCTTTGGCTCAGGTCATGATCCCAGGGTGCTGGGATCGAGCCCTGCATCAGGCTCCCTGCTCTACGGGAAGCCTGCTTCTCCCTCTCCCACTCCCCCTACTTGTGTTCCCTCTCTTGCTGTGTCTCTCTATGTCAAATAAATAAATAAAATCTTTAAAAAAAAAAAAAGAAACACAGACAGTGGCACCAAATAATTATGTCTTTTTCACTCCTGTTTGAAATGGATGCTTCCATTTGCATGACTATGGATTATGGAGTGGTAACATATTTCAGTTTCAACAACTACTATTTCTGAAAAACACAAAGAAAAAGCAATGATGACATTAAAAGTTGACTCACCACTGTCCTCTGTTTATTGGGCAGGAAGACTCTAACGATAGGTTTTTGTGGTGACTTGGGATTGCTCCGTGATACATCTGTGGGATTTTGAAAAACTGAAAGAGATGAAGGTAGCACTGAAAGGCTGGAAGAGGAAGAAGATGTAACCGTGTCCGTTGATGCAGAGCTAGAAACAGAAAAATCAGTTCCATTCCCCAGGGATTCCAATAACTGTTGTTCTCGCTGTTGGAGGGCATCTAGCTTGCTGGTGTATTCTTCATAGGCCTATAAAATAAAGCAGACTTATGTTGAAGCTGGACTTTTTCCTGACAGTAACAAAAGGAAATAAGAAATTTAAGTCTGGTTATAATGTCTTTATAATCTAGCTAATAGGGTTTTAAGTTAGAAGTTACAAAATCAATGCTAAAAGTAACTGTAAATTAATACTTATACTTTTAAATTGATAAATCTTTTGTGATAAGATACTACATTGCATTGAGAAACTGACAAAAACATAAATGTCTAGAATAGCCATGAATGTTAATTTAAAAATACAGTATTTAGAATGTTCTGGTCATATTGCAATTTACCTTCCAAACCACATATCTAACATAAAATAAAATACTATATACTACATCAAGGGTAAGTACAATCTCTATGAAAAATTTATTTTTTTCCAGAAAACTTGTAGGCATATAAAGTATCATACCTTTCTCCCCTCCAAAGAACAGAAAGAGGTTGAAAAGGAGATGAGGTCTTAAAAGAGATTTGTCAAAAAATAAGACTCAGGTATAGTGTCAGATCTCACCATTACTTAAAAGATGTATAACTGCCAGCTTCTTTCTGAAATAGCTGTTAGTTAAAATACTTTATTCTCCTCACTATGGGTCTCTGATGATCCCATCAAATACTGTTTAGAGAATAAAATTTTATCTGAAAAGGTGGTTTACAACCTGCAGTCAAGAAATTCTGGGGCCATTATCCATCATGGTTTCTTTCTACAAGTTTCATTTGACTAAAGCTATAAAGTCAAATGACCACATAAGGTATCATATTCTAAAAGTAACAACAATTTTAAAAACAGGGGCGCCTGGGTGGCTCAGTTGTTAAGCGTCTGCCTTCGGCTCAGGTCATGATCCCAAGGTCCTGGGATCGAGCCCTGCATCGGGCTCCCTGCTTGGCAGGAAGCCTGCTTCTCCCTCTCCCACTCCCCCTGCTTGTGTTCCCTCTCTCGCTGTCTCTCTCTCTTCCGTGAAATAAATACATAAAATCTTAAAAAAAAAAAAAAAAAGAATTTTGCAAACAGAGTAATACTGAAAGTAAAGAGATGGAATGAATTGGAATATATATGTCTATGGTTCTTTAAGGCAGTGGTAATCACTCTCCCCCACACCATAGGACACAATTTCTGTCCATGACCATACATAGATGCAGTAGCTACAAACATTTATAAAAGGCTACAAGGGAGAATCATAGATTTTAAAATGGCATTTCCTATCACTCAAAGAGTTTATTACTGGGCTGCAGAGAAGTAGGTGGATGTATTTTCATTTGTTTAAATGCTGTACGTGAGAAATAAACAAAGAACATTTTTGATACAAGGTGAGAATGAGAAGGGAAAGGGCCTTAAAATGTTAGCATTCAGATAGATGGAGTTAAGTGGGGAGAAGAGAGTACTGTGTACAGGAGAAATTCTGCCATAAAATAAAGAGGTGTCGGGCTCCATACTCAGCGCGTAGTCTGCTGGTTCCTCTCCCTCTGCTCCTCTCCCCCCACCTTCTGCCTTCAAACAAATAAAATCTTAAAAATAAAAAAGAGGTAGGGAATTTCAAGGCATAGAGGGAAAACTACAGACGAGTATAGCTGAATGCTATTTAATATCTGGGACATAGCAAGGGATCAATATATGCTTGTGGTATTTAAATGCAAAACAGCAATACAGGGAAGCAAATAATAAGACTGGAAAAGTGGGTGAGGGACCAGCTTGTAGAGGGTGTATATACCATGCTATGAAGCCTGAACTTCATTCCACAAGCAAGGGAGAATTATCAAAGGTAGATGGGAATGAAGGAGAAATTTTATTTCAATAAAGACCACTGCAGGGCGCCTGGGTGGCTCAGTTGGTTAAGCGACTGCCTTCGGCTCAGGTCATGATCCTGGAGTCCCGGGATCGAGTCCCGCATCGGG